TTGTGTAACTTGATAATGATCAATTTTGAATGTTCAGAACCTTTGACTCAAGCAGTTTTACTTCTAAGAATCTATGTAGTAGAGGTATTTGTACAAGGGCACAATTTTTTAAACAAAGATTTGATTACAGCATTACATGAATTAGTTGAAAATTGCTAACTACACACACACATAAACACACATGCACGGAGATGAGTCAGCAGTGGTGAGTCTAGCTGGACGACTACCCTGTTTAATGGGATGAGTCAGGGCCATATGAATGAATGAATGAGATCCAAGCTGCATCGTTACGGTAAAAAAACAAATTAGAACATGTTATTTGGGGTACCTCAGTTGGTTAAGTGTCTGCTTTCGGCTCAGGTCATGATCCCGGGGTCCTCGGATCCAACCCTGCGGCCGTCTCCATGCTCAGTGGAAAGCCTGCTTCTCCCTCTCCCACTCCCCCTGCTTGTGTTCTCTCTCTCTGTGTCTCTGTCAAATAAATAAAATCTAAAAAAAAAAAAACCACAGACATGTTATTTGTAGCATGTTCCCATTCATTGACTATTTTGGCTTATTAAATCCATTTCTCCCCTGTCCTTACCTAGTTTCCCATGTCTTCTTTTCCACAGGGTTTGGTCATTCTTCCTGAGCATTTTGCCTGGAAGAATTAGACTTATTTGGGGTTGTTGCTTTCTTTTTTTTTTAAATTTTTTTAAATTTTTAAAAAGATTTTATTTATTCATTTGAGACACAGAGATAGAGAAAGCACGAGCAGGGAGAGAGGCAGAGGGAGAGGGAGAAGCAGGCTCCTTGCTGAGCCAGGAGCCCGATGTGGGGCTCGATCCCAGGACCCCGGTATCACGACCTGAGCTGAAGGCAGACGCTTAACCATCTGAGCCACCGAGGCACCCGGTTGGTGCTTTCTTTAGGTAATTAGTTGATTATAGAAGTAACAGTTGTTTAGGTCAATGTAAATTTTTCCGATTTTTGGTAAATCCTACTAGACAGATTTTTGACATTTTTAGATTTATTGACATTGTTGTATCTTTTTATCTTATATTTCCCCCTTTCTCATTTCAATTTTTTTTTTTTAAGATTTTATTTGACAGAGAGCGAGAGCAGGAACACGGGGGAGTGGGAAAGGGAGAAGCAGGCTTCGCAGTGAGCAGGGAGCCTGATGTGGGGCTCTGTCCCAGGACCCTGGGATCATGACCTGAGCTGAAGGCAGATGCTTAACGACTGAGCCACCCAGGCGCCCCCATTTCAATTTCTTAACTGATACATAGACAAAAGGTTTTCCTTTAAAGAACCAGCCCAGCCTTTTTGTTATTTCCAGAGTTTCTGTTTACTAATTTAGTTTTTAAAAATCTTTGCTTCAGAGGAAGGAAACTATAAAGACTACTAAAAAAAAATTCCTACCAAATAGTGTGAGTAAACTGTGTCCTGTGGTGAACGGCCTTCTGTTAAGTGCGTGTCGAGGGACAAATGGAATGGCTGATTCATCCATACGTGGGTTTCTGCTGTTGAGCAGCATCTCCCCATAGACCTGTGGTATGGAGTGCTCCATGCTCTCTGGGCTTAATAGGGAGAAGATGGAGCTGATAATGCCCCTGGTAATTTTTGTGTTGGCAGAGTGGTGGTCATTTGGTGGACCAACATTAGGTAGCCCAAAATTTGTTCCACATCCAGTAAAAATGAATGAGCCCAGTGCTCCTGTTTCCTTTGACTAAGATTTTCAGAAACTGCCTAAAATGATCATGTTCTAAAGATTTTCCTAGTTCCTGGGATGTTTGAAAGCCAAACTATTGACCTGTTTGAGACTTTATGAATTTAAGGAGGGTTTTGTAAATTAGAAATTAGACTGATGCTGTTTCATGGCTCTGTGTGAACATATTACAGTACTTGAGGGACAACTTGAGTACTTGGAAATGGAATTTATCGTATTCTCCATAACAGGAATTTAAGAAGGCTCAAGAGAGAATTCTGTGAAGTGTTTCTTACCAAGCAGTTAATGTGTACATTTCTTACTGCAATGTATCTTTTTTTTTTTTTTTTTTTAAGATTTTATTTATTTATTTGACAGAGAGACAGCGAGAGCAGGAACAAAAGCAGGGGGAGTGAGAGAGGGAGAAACAGGCTTCCTGCCAGGCAGGGTGCCTGATGTGGGACTCCATCCCAGGACCCTGGGATCATGACCTGAGCCAAAGGCAGACGCTTAACGACTGAGCCACCCAGGCGCCCTGCAGTATATCTTCTAATATCTCTATAAATCTTAGTTGGTAGGTGAACTTTTTAAAAAAGTGCATATTAAGTTAGTATATTCAATTGTGGTTCATCTTAAAATATTTCTTGGCATATATGGGAAATCTGTACCTGCCTCTCAATTTTGCTGTGAACCTAAAATTGCTCTAAAAAAGTCTTAGAAAATAAAAAATATTTCCTGGAGTAAATTTCTTAGAATTGACTTATCCTGGAAAGTATGTTTTTCTTAATGTTGTTAGAAAGTAAGCAGGTATTGAGGCAACTGGATGGCTCAGTTAAGCGTCCCACTCTTGATTTCAGCTCAGGTCTTGATCTCAGGGTTGTAAGTTTGGGCCCCATGGTGGGCTCCACACTAGGCATGGAGTCTACTTAAAAAAAAAAAAAAAAAGGCAAGTATTAATATATGAACATGTGCACTGCTTCTGCATTTTAGAACCTGTAGCTCACCAGTAACATCACTGAATCTTGGATTAGCTTTTTTTTTTTTTTTTTTTTGGAACCCAGTCACTGTGTTCTCTTGAGTGTCTGTTAGCCCTACAAGAATGACTATTTGAAGGGAAATGATTCAGGAAGGACGTAGTTGGCTTGAAGTGGGAAGTTGAGAAGTGTATAGATAAAATCCATATTTGAAGAACCTTTGAGGAGGTAGCCTTAAAAATGTTTTCCAATTTGTCCGTATCTTAAGTGGCAAAGGAAGGGCAGAGATGGGAGGAATAACGAACTATATGGGAAAAAATCTTAGGCATTTTGCCACTAAAGTGAGAGTTCTCTTCTAATCCTGTCCTATGTTTGGGTGTGGTTGTGTACTGAATGGTGGTAGTAAGGTTTTACACAATTCAGTCCTATGTAATGAGACTCAGGAGTTCTTCCCTTTGAGACTAGTTCATCACGTATGTGTTTATGAAGCGAAACCTACACTGATAAAGTGTAGACTTGGTGTCCTTGGATGCAGTTGTGTTCAGTGATGTGTGGCCCAGAATTTCACTTACTTGTCAAGAATCTAAACTTTATGACTCTGACTTACCTTTTAAATCTGTAAATCAGTGACATCCTAAAGTTGAAGAAAACTGTGTAGAGAAAAGTGATCTTTTAAATTCAGATGCTTTCAGGATGAATAGGAGATGTTCTCAACTTCAGGTAAACTCTTATACCACACTACCGTATGAGAATGCCCCACCTCTCTGCCAATGATAATAGCCTAATTTTACCAAATACACACGTATGTCCTGTCTTTACAGCAGCAGTCAGAAACGGAGACTGTTCATCTGTTTATCCCAGCCCTATCTGTTGGCGCCATTATCGGCAAGCAGGGGCAGCACATCAAGCAGCTTTCTCGCTTTGCAGGAGCTTCTATTAAGGTACTGTTCTGCCAACCGTGGCTGTTAGTGCTTTAACGACAGTAGGTCACAGGAACATGAGTCATCCTGCCACTTAATAATCGAACTGAATGTGGCAGTCCATACTGCAGCTACATAGGGTGTAACAGAAAACCCTGAACAACAGCTTCAACAAAGTAAGTTGCCTTCTCAGAAAAAAGTAGTCTGGAGGTAAGCAGTCCAGCGCTGGTGTGGTAGTTTTGGCCCACTAAGTCCCTGGACCTAGGTTAGTTCTAGCTTATCTTCCCCAGGCATGGCCTTGGTCCCTCTTGGCCCCAAATGACAATATTCTATGCTCTCGGGGCGCCTGCGTGGCTCAGTCGTTAGGCGTCCGTCTGCCTTCGGCTCAGGTCATGATC